GTACATACCATGTTATAAGTGAGTACATACCATGTTATAAGTGAGTACATACCATGTTTGATTTTCTGGGTCTGGGTCATCTCACGATTTTTTTCTAGTTCCATTCATTTGCCTGCAAATTTTATGATACTATTTTTAACAGTTGAGTAATACTCCATTGTGTAAATATAACTTAATTTCTTTATCATTCTTTGGTTGAGGGACATCTAGCTTGTTTCCAGTATCTGGCTATTACAAATTAGACTGCTATAAATGTAGTTGAGCAAGTGTCCTTTTATGGTAGGATGAAGCATCCTTTGGGTATATGCCCAGGAGTGGTATAGCTGAGTCTTGAGGTAGTCTGATTCCCAATTTTTTAAGAAATTGCCATATTGATTTCCAAAGCAGCTGTACAAGTTTGCACTCCCAGCAGCAGTGGAGGCGTGTTCCCTTTGCTCCATCCACACCGTCACCAGTGTGAACTGTCCACACTATAATCATCTAGCTGTGAGCTTTGTGGGTCCTGGGCTGGGCTGGTGCTGTTGTAGGCATAAACAAAGCCAGATGACTGAGATGTCATAGTAAGTTAATTTGATTGAGATTTGTTTATTGTGGTTTGCAGTTCTGTTTCATTGCTGGACATTATAGATAGTGGTATTATTTTGAATGTGGCCAAAGGAAGTGAGAGAAGGTTTTTTTTGTTGTTGTTACTTTTATTTTTTTACAGTCTAGTCATCACCCCCTCCCAGTGCTCCCTCCCACAGTTCCTCATCCCCAATGTCTTCCTGATCCTGCCAGGCTTCCCCACTCCCTGGGGCCTCATGTCCCTCAAGGGTTAGGCGCTCTTCTCCCCGAGGCCAGAGCAGGCAGCCCTCTGCTCTATGTATCGGGGCCTTGGACCAGCTCATGTATGCTGCCTGGTTGGTGGCTCAGTGGCTAAGAGAGCTTGAGAGTCCAGGTTAGTTGGGACTGCTGGTCTTCCTAGGGGTCACCCTCCCCTCAGCTTCTTCCTGCCTTTTCCCTAATTCAACCACAGGGGTCCCCCACTTCAGTCCAGTGATTGGGTGTAAGTGTCTGCATCTGTCTCAGTCAGCTGCTTATTGGGCCTCTCGGAGGATAGCCATGCTAGGTTCTAGTCAGTAATAGTCTCAGGCCTTGAAGCCTCCCCTTGAGCTAGATCACAATTTGGGCCGGTCACTGGATTGCCTTTCCCTCAGTTTCTTCTCCATTTTTGTCTCTGCAGTTCTTTTAGACAGGAACAATTCTGGGTTAGATTTTTGACTGTAGGATGGCAACCCCTTCTGAATCGAGGTAGTTTTGATCTCTGGAAAATATAGTGGGTAATTTCACTCAAAGGAAAATTGTGCAGAGGCAGGCAGATTTCTGAGTTCAAGGCCAGCCTGGTCTACAGAGTGAGTTCCAGGACAGCCAGGGCTACACAGAGAAACCATGTCTCGAAAAAAAAAAAAAAGAAGAAAAAAAAGGAAAATTGTGACTTTTTTCAATTATTAACTTTTACTGATGTTGTAAGATGTCCATCCTGATAACAGTAGGCAGCGAGTTTTGTGTTTAAGGGAAATGAACTGAATCTTAGTTATATTAAGGAAACATTATTAATAGAGTGTTAATGAATGCCTATGCATAATAAAATACAAAATTTGGTATCTGTTTTAAATTTTTATTTGTCTATTTTAAAGAATGAAAAGTGAGATGCTAGTATATCTTTCATGTGTATTTCATGAAGTGCTAACAACACACAACTAAAAACACCAAGGCACTTGGCTTTTCTGAACTTATCTTCAAATTCTGAGAATTCTGTAGCCACCATCAAGGCCACCAGAACTCTCCAGCTGACCAGTCTTGTAGCCTCAGCTGTGAGATGGAGACCTGTGAGTGAGTGTGACATCAGGGTGTTGCTATGATGGTCAGCAGTGTTGGGGAACAGTTATCCAAGTGGGCTCTCGAGGGGGGTTGGACGACCTTAAATAAGAGAAGGTGTCATTGCCTCGTTTCTCCCTGGCATGCCTTCCCGCTCCTGACATCCTTCTCGCTCTCTTGCTTGCAGGCTTTGATCCAGTGTGAGCAGCTGAAGAGTGAGCTGGAGAGGCAGACAGAAAGACTGGAAAAGGAGCTTGCCTGTCAGCAAGAACAAAGGGCTTTGGAGAAGGAGATGATAAAGAAAGAAGTGACCAGAGAGAGGGAAGATGCAAAGTCAAAGGTACTGCGTCAGCACTCTCTCCAGCTGAGGGACCTGATGGGTAGATCTCAGTGGGCAAGGGCTAGCTTTGGCTCACAGTCCCTCCTCTCCAGGAAGGTGGCACAATGCTCCTGGCAGTGGTGGTGGGCACACCTGAGTGCTCACGCCGGCTCTTCTCCGCATTCGTACTGAAGTCCTCCAGTGCATCCCTTTCTGCCTTTCTTCAGCTTCAACAGATCAATTGGAATCTCTGGGGCTGTAGTTATAGACCCAGTGCTGCTCTCTCAGAAAGCATGCAGACCTTGGGGAAGGTGGCTGCTAGGCAAGTATGTTCATAAATGCATCAAATCGCTCCAGCCTGGACAGTCATGAGAGACTTTTGTCAGAAGGATTTTGAAGTAAGGCTTAGGGAGATGGAAGGATAGTTAGGTGGACAGTTGAGTTCAGGGGAGTAGAGTGTCATTGCAGGAAAAGCACACACCCACAGGAGCTGCAGCTCTGCTTCGTTGGGGTTTGGGTACTGCCCAGGTGGTGGAGTAGAGGGAGTCGGGTAGACTGGCGGAGGGTGGAGTATGGAGATAGAGAGAGGTGCTAAATCACTAGTGTGCGTAAAATCTACATGAGAATCAGAAATATCACCCAAATGTGACATGAAGCCACACGTTGTCTTCACGTTGGACGGCGTGGTAATGATAGCTAGATTTCAGGAAAGTCACCTCATTAATAGACTGAGCAGAACTAGAGTATGTGCCCGGAGATAAGGTTCGAATTAGTTATGGCATCTGGTGGAGAGGATGACATCTTTGTCCTAGGAGGTCACAGGGAGTTGGTTTTATCATCCAGGGAGGGGGGATAGCATCGTGGTCCTAGCTTTTCAGACTGGTTTTAGGTCACATTTATTCTCCCCAAGTTATGTCAACCTCAGTAGAGAAACTTCCTGAGTAGAAGCCAGTAGGTGGCAACCAGTTTAACTATTCGCCTGCCTTGTTCTTCCATTCGACTCCTCGCAGTCTCTCCTGTGCCTTCCCTACCTCAGGCAGCTCCTGCAGGCTGTGCTGAGGCTCTGCTGATCTCCAGCTCTCCTCAACAGCCTTGCTATCATCACAGCCTTGCTTATCATCAGCACTGCTGAAGCCAAGCAAAAGAAACAGTATCTCAGTCCCTACTGCATAAGGAAAATCTCACGGGCTTCACCTCCTTCCCAGGAGAATCATTCTTTATTTTATTTGATCCTTCTGAGTTTTTGAAGCAGTCTTCTTCAGAGTGTCTCAGAGGAAAACTAGGTTCCTCTTTGTAAGTTCCCATACCTCATTGATGGCAAATTCTTTCTTATTGGACGGTTGCCTTCTCCTAACTTCCTGCGAAGCCCTCGCATCCACGGCCTAACGTGCTCACACCTCTCACTTAGCGCATGCTCACATGAGGTATGACTAACACACCAGGAAGGGCTAGGCAGCCCATGGCTGAAGTATGACTAACACACCAGGAAGGGCTAGGAAGCCCATGGCATCGGAAAGGCAGGATGAAGTCAGAGGTTAGAGCTGGTCCCTGTCTGCACATGATCAGGACAAGCCTTGTGGGAAAGTAGTGTTTAGCTAAGATCCAAAGAATAGGTAGGACTTCGAATCTAGCTTCCAAGGAAGGAAGTGGTCTCTGTTCCACCCGGAGAAGACATGAAGGAGGTTTAGTTTTGGAATTGGCTCCTGTGTGTGAGAAAATAACATTGGTTACAAAAACAGCCATTGTTCACACCTAGGGTATTTTTATTTGGGAAGGGGCCTGTTTCATGGAAACCATTTGACTCAATAGCTTCACAATATAAAACCACTCAGATGAGTATTCAACAAGGAAGGGAAAAGAGAAGGATGAAGTGTGCTTGGTCACCTCCTGAGCCAGGGAGGCAGTGGAAGCTGGGCCCTTTTCACAAGTGGGTAAGCTCTAGCAGATTTGCTCTCAGGCCTGGTTCTGAGTGTGAGAGACAGGAGTAACTGAATCTTAGTAGCTAGATGCTGTTCTCAAGGAAAATGGCCTTAGAGAAAGTGATGTGGCAGGTAATCCAGTTTGACCTCTATGGGACCTTGATTAATCTTCAGGTGTAATGAGTGCTTTAAGCACGTGACAGGGTTAATCGAGGTGATGTTTAAGAAGTGTCATAATGCCTGTCTCATGGTAGGCATTGAATAAAACGGAGCCTTTGTTGTCGTTTTTATTTTAGGGAATGCACAGTGGGCTTGCTGGACAGTTTTCTTGACACGTCAGTACAGACAGATAAGCTGGAGTATAAACCCAAGCTGGACCTTTTATGGATTCTCTTGAGTGAACTTGGCCAAGTAGCTTAGTTTTCTTAATCTCATTTCAGGGGAACTGAAAATTAATCCAATACAAGTAATCCAATTTTCATTAATCCAAATCTGATACAATTCTTTCTCTAAAGGGACTTAAATGCACGTGTGTGTGTGTGTGTGTGTGTGTGTGTGTGTGTGTGCACATCCCTGCCACCCTAGGAAAGTACCTAGTTTCCCATGTCGCTGAAGTCTCCCTGTAATACCCCTTCAGTAGTTGTGATGGAGATGCTGCAGACACAGGTACCATGATCACACTCACGAGTGTACACACGTGCTAAGGGCTAGCATGCAAGCATCTGTCTGTCCTTCCTTTGTCTTTCCTTCCTTCTCTCCATCTCTGCACCTAGCCTACAAAGGACCCTGCAGCTTTATTCAGCCTTCCCTTCTGGATCCTTCACAGTTTCTCAAGCAGACCTGAAAAACACTCCCAGGACAACAACTTACCAATGCACAATATTGAATGAGGTATTTAAGAAACAAAATGAGAAGGGAGTTTCCTCGTTATGTTTTTAAATAGTATAATTTATGCATATGAAAGTGTGTACATGGCTTTCTGTCTCTCTGTCTCTCTGTCACTGTCCCTCTGTCTCTGTCTCTGACACACACGCACACACACACACACAAGCTCAGGAATGCAGTCTAATAGGAAAAGTAACAAATTAATCACTACAATTACATTGTAAAGTTAGTGTAAAGCCAGGCACTGGTAGCTTCCTAACAATAGGAAGGCTCAGGGAACTAGCCCCCCCCCCCCCCCCCCCCCCTGTGTGTGGAAGGCTCTAGAGAACAGGTACCTCTGCCTGTCTGCCCATATTTGCATCATTCCCCCACGAATGTTCCCCGCTGTGAGTTTGTCTCCTGCCTTCAGTGTGCTCTCTGAGCCACTCTGGTGTGTTAGTTGAGTCCATCACTTATCATATGCTTATGTGGTCACCCCCTGCAGTCCACATATTTTCTTAGTTGCTTCCCTTGACAATAGCCCATTGCCAGAATCCCGAATGTGTTCTATCTCTCTGCCCCTTCATGCCCTAGTCAGTGGACTGGGAACCACTGTGCAGACATTTCCATCAACCTCTCCCAATCTAGGCGTCCTTGTCTCTTCCTTGCCCCTGTCAAAGTTTAAAGGACTTCGCTGATATCAGTGCCGTAGACATCCAGCAGTGTTGCAGCTGTCTGTGTTACTTCTGGCTCTGCAACAGATGTGGATGGAGAAACTCCTGCAGTGTAATGCTGACTTCCAGATGGTGGGCGTGGGGGAAAAGAAGGTGTGACCACAGGAGGGAGGCCTCAGGAAGTGGGTGACAGGAGGCAGCAGACAGGTCGGATGGGCAACAGAGCTAAATGATGGGTGGTACAGGGAGGGAGGCTGAAGGAAGAGAGGGAGGGATTGGTGTGTGCCTTGTAATAGAAACGGACCCAGAATTTACAATTAGCAAAACAGTCATCTGTGTGTTTATTCTAAACACCAACCATTCTTAATATCTTTCACTGATTTATCTCCTTATAACATGTCCTATACTAGATTTACTAGCTTGCCACTAAAATTGACTGCTGCTGTTTGGGTCCAGAAGACCTATAATTACAGGTTTATGATATGAATAATCATGGACTTGAGTTCTTAAATTACAGATGTTAAATGATACTATTTGCCCTGTTTGTTTTCCCTTGACCTTTAATTACTCATTCAGATTGTAATATGCACAAACGTACTTTGTAGTTTGTTATTAGTAGAGCTATGTGCGAATGAAATTTTCAGACAACCTATTAATGTTTGGGGTATGTAAATAACTATAAATCAAATACACATTTCTCTGTGATTTTCAGAAAAGTCAATTAGTTGATCATTCTAAATTAGAAAGTATCTTCAGGGCTCTTTATTTTCATGTGGGTCAAGTATGCTATTTATATAATTCAAGTGTGGACACTTGACATTGTAAAGCTCTTAATTTACCATAAACTTTTGTTCAGTATTGAAATTTTAATATTTTTTATTAGCATATATTAATTGCATACAATAATGGTTTCGTCAGTATGTCTTCATGCATGTATATAATATATTTTGATCACAGTTATCCCATGATTGTCTCTTGTTCCACTGGTAGTTTTTTGATGTATGGACCAGTAAGTGTATTAGGCTCATGTGTAGGCACAAGTTTAGCTCTTTGATTTACACGCTGGGGGCTGTGGTCCAGCTCAAGCATCACCATTCCCCCCCCCTCTTTTGGTTTTTGGTTTTTTCGAGACAGGGTTTCTCTGTGTAGCCCTGGCTGTCCTGGAACTCACTCTGTAGACCAGGCTGGCCTCGAACTCAGAAATCTGCCTGCCTCTGCCTCCCAAGTGCTGGGATTAAAGGCGTGTGCCACCACTGCCGGCTGAATTTTCATAGTCTCAAATACCATTGCTGAGATTTGTTTTCTTTCACAGATACTGATCCTATCTCAGAATATTGCCAAGCTAGAGGCCCAGGTTGAAAAGGTTACAAGGGAGAAGACTTCAGCTGTCAGTCAATTAGAGGAAATTCAGAACCAGCTTGCATCTCAGGAAATGGACGTCACAAAGGTCTGAGCAAGTTTTGGTTTAATAATTGGCCTAAGTACATATTTTCTTTGAAAAAATTTTTTTCTTTTAAGTTTATTATTTTTATTATTGTATATGTGTGATGTGTATATGTGTGGTGTGTGTGTGGTATGTGTGGTGTGTGTGTGGTATGTGTGTATGTGGTGTGGTGTGTATGTGTACATGTGTGTGTATGTGTGTGATGTGTGGTGTGTTGTGTGTATGTGTGACATGTGGTGTGCTGTGTGTGTGTTATGTGTGTATGTGGTGTGGTGTGCGTGTTGTATACAGGCACACACATGCCGTGGCGCTCCTATGGCGGTCAGAGTCCATTTTCTTTGTCCACTGTGAGACCCAGCTCTGGTTTTCAGATGCCCTGTGAGCAATCTCATCTACTTTGAAACCATTTTTCTTTTTCTTTTTTTTCTTTTATATTTTTTCCCTCTTTGTAGCCTTGGCTCTTCTGGAACTCAGAGATCGAACCTGCCTCCACCTCCCAAGTGCTGATATTAATGGTGTGGGCCACTGAAACGATTTTTCTTACTAACCAAAGCTTCATATGTTGTCAGAAAGAAGTTTGGAATCGAAAGTCTTTTTATGTCAAGAATAATTAAGGTTACTTTAGTGAGTCTATCAACAGCCCTTACTACACGCCCGCTTCCTCCACCCTTACTGTATGGTACTGAAAGTCCAAAGCTAATCTGTAGCAAAGAATCAATTGGCAAAGACTTGGGAACAGTTCTATTTAATTGTTGCATCTTTAACGAAACTTACCTTTCTAAGTTAGTTAGCAAGGAGTGATTCTTTTTCTCCACCTTGTTTTTCCAACAATTGCTTAAGGCATGCTGAAAGCTTTGTTTGATTTCAAAAGTTTCCTCCTCTCTCTTCTGTTTCATATCTACTTTTAAAATCAACATTTTATATTAAATTCTTAATTATATCTTATATTTAGCATAAATTCTTCTTTTATTAATTAAGCTATATATTTGTGCCTTGGGCCTCTCTGACCAGTGAAGCAAGGACTAAACATGTAGTGGTTTTAATTGATTTATTTTAAGAAATGCTAGTTTGTCTGGATTTCAAGTAAATTATAACCCATCTCCTTAAATTTTGATACATTTTATTCTTTTGTTGCTTTAAATTAAGTAACATAATTATTTTTAGCTTTTACATTGATTTATACTTACACATAAAACTTACAAAAGGAGCTTCACTCTCTAATTCTGCATTTACTTCATAAATCACGCTGGGTGATGAAGAGGCTTAGGAGGCTTCTGTTCACCAGCATACCTGCTCTGTGTGTCTGGAGACAGGGGCGCAGACAGCTCTGCAGAGAAATGGGCACGCAGGTTTGGAGATGGAACTCATGGCTCTTGTTTGCAGTTCATTACAGGCGACAGCTTTTAATGAAGCACAGTGACAGAAAGAATGAGTTCTTGTCTCTACAGCTGTCCAACAGGACGCAAGCCTCAGAGAGTGACACACTAAGCTAAATGACTTTAAAAGAGCCTCCATCCCTCAGATGATAGTTCTGGCTCAGTAGAATGCCTAGATTTATTTTAGAAGTCTGTTGTAGATAAGTACAGTAAGCAGTGAGCTGACAGGACTAAGAAGGTAAGAGTTCAAATTAAAGACTTAAGTGACTTTTAGAGGACTCAGACATTTGTTATGGAGTACATTCAGCTAAAAGTCACTGCTTTTCATTGTTGAGGAATTGTTATTTTTCTGATGTTATAAATTGAGAATTGTTCACTTCATCTGTAGACCTACTGAAGCCAAACAGTTTGGAACAGGTCACTTAGCATTTTAAGTTTATAATTTTTTGAATGGAAGAATCAACTCTCATGTATTAAAGATACACTTTTGTATGTGTGAGTGCATCTTTGATGCCCCTGGAGCAAGGTTGTTGCCTGTGCTTCTGTCTTGTCCTAACTTTTAAACTCTGGTGCTTTTATTGTTTCTAAAGAGCTTTTTATTCAAGAAAAGGAAGGCATATAGGTTACATACTTTACTATAGTTTAATATCTCAATAATAATAAAATTAATTTCTAAAGCTTCTAAAACTCATTTTTGAAGAAATGCCAAACTGAAAAGTTGCAGGCAAGAGTAACCATTAGATAATACACAACCTTTAAAAGGCAGACTTGAAAGTCAGAGAGAGAGTTGTGATGTAACTCAACTTCTACAGTCCTCAGTTATGGCAAAGATTCATCATTTCTTTATTTAGATGTTTCTGATAATTCTATTTCTCAAATATGCTTCTCCATGTGAGTGACCTGGACTAGAGAAAAAATAAATTGCATACAGAATGTTTTGCAACATTTTAAAGATGTTATATGTATTCATTATCTAATAATATCACAGTTATTTCACTTCAGATGTATATTTTCTCTTGTGTAGAAGACTACAGTTATAATTGTAGCGCATGCTTAAAGCCTGCATATGACCTTTACCAGAAGTTCTTTTATGGTATTTAAGTCACATTGCATACCTACAACAATATAGTTGATGGTATCTATATGGTTTATAGTAAATGCTGGTATTGTACACCTAAATATCAATAATATAGCTTATTAGCAAAAAAATGTCCTTATAAAAATTTACTTGAAAGCTTAGCTGATGAAGTCTTTAAAGAGATATTTTATAATATAGAGAGAATGACCACCTGTGTGAATAACTATAACTGTTTTAATTACTTATTTTAGCTAGTGTGATTTCAGGTGGTAGTGCCTTTCATTGATAATATTAATTTGAATCTATTTTATATAAGATAATCCTGAAAATTTGCTTCAATTTCTTAGTTATGCATTCCATTATTTTATAGTTTTTGTTTGATTTTGAGAGGGGGAATGAATGTATTTGTGGCATTCATGCAACTAAAAAGGCAACTTGTAGAAGTAAGTTTCCTCATTTCAGGCGGGACCTTTGGATTAACTCAGGTAATCAAGCTTAGTGGCAAGTGGCATACCTGCTGAGCCATCTCTCAGTACTTCCTTGTGTTACCTCCAAATCTTGAAATCAATCCTCTTAGAAAAGTTTTGCTGTACTTTATCTGTGTGTCCTCTAGGGGGCACCAAAAGATCTAATTGTAGACACTTGTCTGCCGATTCCAGAGGCTACTGATCTGTTTTTACAATCTAACAGGTGTGTGGAGAAATGCGCTTTCAGTTGAATAAAACCAAAATGGAGAAGGATGAGGCTGAAAAGGAACACAGAGAATACAAAGCAAAATCTCAAAAGGATCTTGAAATGAAAGATCAGGTAAGGGAGCACACCGGCACAAGCAGCTATTAAGCTATTAGTAGCATGTTTTCTGAAGTTGGTGTGGTTTTATCCCTAAGCCACTTATTTCTCTTATAGTGTCTCTAACTAATGTAAGGACCCAGTTTATACTATTAAAAGAATTTCATTTATAGTTGCCTGACATGAAGTGGTGAGAATCAACTGCTTGCATATGAAATTCCAATTTGACAGTTCATAAATATACATTTGGATATGTATCTATTACTTAGAAAAAGTTTAAAAAATGTTCTAATGCACAGTTTGAACCTAAAATACACATACATAAAGTTCTTGAAAGATGCCAACTTGCATCCAATTTTAAATGAGAAACTTTAAAATTTGTAAGATGAGATGAGTTGATATGTAAATATGTCAATCAAATTGATTGTTGGCAGAGTTGGACCAGTTTTAACTAAGATAGCCATGAATGCGTTTGCTCAGGAAGCCTAAATACAGTGAAATTAGAAATGTTAGGGAAAATGCTACTTGCTTCAATTTCAGTTTGAACAGATGTTTTATGTTATAACTCTGTTGAGATTGTATAGATACTCCAATTTTAATTGACTCTGGGGAAAGCTTTTAAAGAGAAAGTTATGGCAGATTGACTTTTGATGTTCTATTTTTATGTTACATTATAGGCCATTGAAGGTTTGCATTCTTTACAGCCAAGAAAAGCAGATTGTGTATTCTATTAAAATAATACGCCGAGGTATCAGTATCAATAATTTAGAGATATCTGTACAGTTCAGGAGTAAGTTGCTCCAGATAATTTTACAACATATTTCTAAGCAAGGCTTTCTATCATATTTTCAACATATTTTCCCTTTCAAGCCATCAGCTGTTGATGACAAATGACACAAATGCAATGGAGAAAGTATTAACTCTGGAAGTGCCAATGAAGTTCTGTGCAGAGCATTGCAAATCACAGCTGAAACCCAGACAGCCGGAATGAAAGTAGTTTCTATATGAGTGTATGCAAACTTTATGATGAGTTCTACATCCTAGAAGATCTCTTAATATTAACGTGTACTGATTTTACTTTGTCCAGTTGGGGGCGTCCCTGATAGTGGAATGGAAAGTTCCCTCAGTCCAGGATTGAAAGCCTAGGACGACTAAGCAAATGGAGTACTCTCCTCCTCCTGATACCCCGCAGGTTTTTACAGTTACATTGGCACACTCTGTGATATTAAATATCTTTTGAGTTATTGTACAGAACTCCAGAAGTATAATATTTTCTACTAATAGAACACAGAAGCAAAGAGTTTGGGAATGATATAAAATTACATTATCATGTTTTAGCAGTACCAAAAAAAAAAAAAAAAAACAAGTAACGAGAGAGTGTGTGTCTCAGGAAATGAATAACCTAGTTTAAATCCCTCCTAGTGTCTGTTACTTTAGGATGCTGTTTTCTTAATTAACCCATAATGGTAAAAAGGCTAGAGCTGAAGGGATGAGTTTCCTTTGTCAGTGTTCCCTGACGGACTGAAATACTGAGTTTCCCTAATCATCTTTGGTGGTACCGTTTCGGTGGAGATGTACCTTCAGGGAGGGCACAGTTTGTAGGAGTAAATCTGGGGAGGGTTAGGAGAGGTTTGCTTGCTTCCATTTTTTTCTTGACAGAATGTGAGGAAAGCTTATAGGTGCTCTTTGTAACTGTTTTGTACTGAACAGACAGTTTCAGAAGTAGTGGCTTCTCATTCCCTGGATGATTTGGAGCAGCAAAGCAGCAATTGTTCTTTGGTCTCTCAGCCATGACCTGACCTTCTGTCTGTAAGACTGAAGAGCTATTTAGCTTGGCCACCATCTGCACCCAGGAGAGAAATTTACATTTAGCTTTGAAAAGCTGGACATGTCGAGCATTTATCTGCAATACATACCGTGATATAAAACGTATTTGATTTTAAAGCCTTGTGTATCATACAGTCGTCATAGCCAGGAGGCTGGCCTTCCGTTTGCAAACAGGTGCTCCCCATAATGCATCATTTTATTCATATTTTAGCTAATCTGGTCACTTGATAGGTTTTCAAAGTAGGTGGGAAACGGAGATGGAATGTAGCGAGCTCAAGGGCCTCTTTGATGTGTACACAGCCAGGCAAATGCTTAGCCACTGGAATGAGTTTCCTCATGACCTGAGCCTTGACTCTGGCATAATTAGAAAGAAAGGTTAGAGGGGAACAATGGCTGTCTCTTCCACCTACTTTCTTCTTTTCTTCTTATATTGTGTCAGGACCCATGGGTGAGTTACCCTTCTCATCAGCTCCTTTGTATCGCTGCAGCTTGGAGAGCTGCTGTCAGTCTCAGGGGCTGCTTCTGCACCACAGAAAACAAAAGGCATTTGCTGTGCAGATTGGGAACTTTGTGCCTTGATTTATTTTTTTCCTTCCTTCTTTTCTTTCTTTCCTTTTTTTTTTTTATAAACATCAGGTACACACACACACACACATGCGTGCACGCACACACACACACGCACACACACTATCATGAGAGCTTAAAAGCATATGAAACAAAAGGAACATTGTAAACAACCTGTGCATTTCCAGTATTTACATTCAGTGTGTGTCTATATTGTTCCATCCAGTTCATAGTGTTTTTCCTTAACTTCTCATTATCATCTTTTTCTATCTTAATGTTTTCTAATTGTCTTCCTCTACCTCTTCTCCTTTTACAGAAATATTTAAGACAGATCTCAGACATTTATTATTTCACCTACAAATATATCACTGTGTATCTATGAAGACAATGTTCATATTATTATGTTGTCACATTAAGGAATATTAACAATAATTAGTAGCAAATAACTCCAAGCTTATGTTCACTTTTCTTTATCTCAAAAAATATTTTGCAGTTGGTTTATTCCAAAATGCAGAGCAGGTCCGTGTTTGTCTGTTCAAATGCTGCAGTACGGTCCTCTTTAAAAGGAAGTGAAAAGAATACTTAGTAAAAATGTTAGCTTTCTTTATTATCTATTAAGTTTCCCTCCGAGGGCTTTGTGCTCCGTACTGCACCGGTTGCCCTACCAGAGCTGCACCTTCATCCCTGACACACTGTGAGCATATGGCCAGGATGTGGCTTTGCTTCTCATCACGTTCCAGAAGGGGCCAGAGACTCAAATGCAAACTGCATCATTTCAGAGCCCTATATTTAAGATTCAGGAACTTTTAGGAAACTCTGGCATTACAGGGCTAGTCTATTTGAAATGAGGGATGCATCTTTGGAATTTTCTTTGTTAATTTTGAATTTAATAGTTGAGTCTCAAAGATGTTTCTTTGTTGCTCCTAGCCTTTGATCAGGGTCCAGAGCAAGTAAAAATACAGAACTATTTGTTCAGAAAAGATAAATATGATGTTAAAGGCGCTGTCATAGGAGGCTTTGTTTTCTTTACTTTGCTGTCTCTTGTACTCTACCAGTTTTTCCTTCTCTGAACCCCCATCATCTTTTAAATTTGTTATGTAATTTGGGGATGTATATAGAACCAGGGCACATATAGAGGGTAGGATGGGGAGGGATGATCCAGAGGGGCCAGAGCAGTTGAGAAAGCTGTTTATTGTCAGTCTTAGCTTTGAAATTGCAGATGATAGCTTACGAGAAAATTTTGAGAATAGGGACACACTTACAGACTTCGTGGTGATGTGAGACCCTATCAGAACATTGACTTTGGTTTTGTGACTTGCTTTTGTATTGAAGAGATAGATGAAACAATGTGTACTGGGCTACACAAAGTTGATGGGCGTGTGGTGGAATTAAAGAAGCCAGTTTTACAGGGGAGTCTATAAAGCCTGGTACCCAGTGAACAGTGAAAAACTTGTCGGTGATAGTAAAGAAGATAGCGAAGAACATAGTCGGAGAGAACAGTGAAGAATATAGTCTGAGAGACTGCTTTGAAAAGTGTGGCACATTGGAGCTATCCAAGTTCTGGAAAGCAGGCAGTGTTGAAAAAGGAGGATTTGCCTTTGTACCTTTTGATGACCATAACACAGTTGATAAAAGGTTGTTCAGAAATACTACACTGTCAATGAACATAACTGTGAAGTGAGAAGGCCCCTTTCTAACAAGAGATGCAGTCTGCTGATCACAGAGAGGTTGGGGAGGTGGACCTTGCTACTTTATGGAGGAAACCTGGGAGGTGGTGGAGGTAATTTTGGTTGTCGTAGAAACCTTGGTAGAAGAGAAGGCTATGGTGGCAGAGGTGGTGCCAGCAGAGGTCATTATGGAGGTCGATGCAATGCATTTAGAGGTGATGGTGGCAGCTACAGTGGTGATCCTGGTTATAGATAGAGAAGACCATGGCAGTGGTGGACCAGGATATGGAAACCAAGGTGGTGGATACAGTGGTGGAGGAGGATGTAGAGAGAATTTTTGGTGGAAGTAACTCTGGTGGTGGAGGAAAGTATAATGACTTTGAAAATTCTGGTAGACAAGAGTTTTATCAAATTGTAGGTCCATGAAGGGGGCAGGGTTGGTGGAGGATGCTCTGACAATCCCTGGTGGTGGAAGTGGTGAAGAAGTGGTTGCAGAAGGCTTAGCAAACAGCAGAAAATGGCTGTAGTTCTTAGAAAAAGAAGGTGGAGTTGTCAGAAAAGCTGCAGGTTACCTTGAGACAGTCGTCCCAAATGCAAGAGGAACTGTAAAATCAACCACAGAAGGAGCGATGGTCCGTAGTCAGAAACATCACTGCAGCTTCAATGGGAAACCCTTCTTGTTCAGGACTGTCATAGAATGGTGTGCAAAACATTATTAATTCATGTAGTACAGTGACAGATGTGCGATTCTGAGGTCATTTATCTCTTGTAGCTTTATCCCCCCCCCTGTTATACCAAGTATATTGCCTTGTAAATTGCTGTATTGGTACCAGGAATAAAACAAAAACAAAAACAAAAACTAAGGAACGTTTAACTTCAAAACAAACCCAGTGCCCTCTATGTCTGACATTTTCTTGGTTCTGGGATCAAATTCACGTCCTCATCCTGCACAGCAAGTGC